TTTTTCTCCTATTTTTTTAAAATTTTTTTTTTTTACAAAGTTATATTTGTTTGAATAAAATATTATACTTTAGTTACGATGGATTGGACATTATATTACCAATGTAACATTAATATTTTGTTTTCGTAAAAAAGCCAAGAAGAAAAAATCAAAAGAAAAACGTATTTTTGCATCCGGTACTGGAATATCCTTAACAACTCCTCAAACTATACATTCCGATGATTTCTTTTCCAAGGTATAATTCATCCAAATTATCATCTATGTAATATTTTCAATCATTTTAGTATAAAATATGAATTATATCAAATGAATATCTATCTATTATGTAGTTAGAAATTTATTAAATAATTAAAATTTTAATCAATTATTAAAAGCTTAAAATAAAAGCAATTTGAAAAAAAAACGAAATTTACTTAAGACTTTAAATTAATTTAAAATTGTAAATTCATTTTTTGTTTTTTTGTACATAAATTAATTTAAATTTGCAATTTAAATTTTGTAATTAATTTAATTTTGTACAATTTTTGCAACATTTACCGGAAATTTTTCAAATTTTATATTGAAAATGTGGAAAATTTGTCACAAAATTTAACTACTCTTTCACACTTTCATTGTCTTTGGTTTTTTTTTTGTTTGATTTTTATAGCTTAAAATATTTTAAATTTATTATATACTTTATATTTTATATGTATATTTATAAAGTATTATATATAAATTATTTTGAACTTATTATGTATTTTATATATATATGTATATATAAACTTTATAAACTTTAAAAGCTGAATTTTTTTTTTCTTGAATTGAAATGAAATTTTTTTGCTTAATTTGATCAATTTTTTTTTTTTCAATTTCATTTTATAGCTGCTATGTCATCGAAATTTGCCATCGAAATTTCCATCATCAAATCGTCGCAATCATAATGGTACTACTCTTATTGATAATCGTTTTCACACCAAAGCAATTAATTTTATTCTTCAAGATCTATAAATCAATTCGTAAATTTAAATTAAATCATTAAATCTTTTTATTTTACTATTTATCCATGTGTATAAATTTTTATCATTTCACTTAATTTGTATAAAAATTGTGATAAGAAAAGGAATCGTTTACCTTAATAATATTTGTTCTATCTCAACAGGTTAATTGATGTCATTATCTTTTAGCGCCTACCTTACAGAATGAATACTTCTTTTCCATCTTAAATACTTCTTTGTTTATTTCGTTTGTGTTTTTTTTTTTTTTAATTTCTAATTCTATAAAAACTAATTTTTTCATCCGTTGATCAATTTTTAAACATTATTAAATTAATTAATTCTGGCGCAAATTTGTTGAAACCTTTGTTAATTAATTTAATTTGAATAACTAAAGGATAATTTTTGTGAAAAAAAGATTTAATTTAATATGAAATACCTTTGTCATTTTATATCCTGAAATCACATTGAAAGGTTGCAATTTCAAATATCGTCATGAATTGGTAATTTAATTAAATAAATCAGTTTAATTTTACATGCTTTACGTGCATATTATAACATCCTAAATTGTCCTCTGCAAAATATTTTATTTTTTACGATTCTTGCAAATTTTAATTTTGATTCTTGCAATTTTAATTTTGATTTATAAAAAAAAAGTTCTAAATCCAAAATCACAACAATAATTGTAAACAATGGAAATTAAATATATTTGTTAAATTGTTTTTTAAATGAAACCAATACTAACAGAAATCAACAAAATCATTATCACTGATAATTTTGATACGACCATCTCGTGATTCCATCAATGTGACATTGATTATTCGATTATCATAATTATCAATTGACAATAAGAGGAGGAAATTATATCGAAATTAATTGTTGAATTTCTTGCAGTGAATCAAATGATTTGTTAAACAGCAGTTTAAATTTGTCTAATGTAAAAACCACAATTGGAACATCAAGTTTAAGCTCAGAGCTTACTATCTTATCCTTTACGGATATAACCGTTTCCAGTCAGGAATCTTTTGATAACGATAGTACGGTTTTACCGGAGAAAAATTATCCAGCAATTGGTAGTTTAACTTTTCAATTGTAAAATTTTATAAAAATATTTTTTTTAAAAAAAAGGAAAAAAAACGTTGAAAAAATGACATTTTTTTTATTATAACTTATTTATATAAATTTTTATTACTGCACATAGTATTATCAAAACGGAAATTTTGCCGGAATATAAAATCCTGAAAAAAAAAGTAATCAAATAATTAAATGATTGCAAAGTCAGGAAAAGCAAACGAAATTTCAAATCAAATCAATTTACAAAAAAAGCAATCAAATTGTTATCAGTTGCACTTTCCGGAATGTTTTATTGCGCATTATGCAAAATTGAAATTATTAAAATGTGCTTGCAAAAAGTTAGCAAAAGTTTGTAAGCTGCAATCAGTTTCTTCAATAATTTATGATCTTATAATTGAACAGAAATCCGGCAAGTATTATTGATATATTCAGTTTTTATTAAAAATGTTAATTAATAGTAAAACTAAAAAGTTTCAATAAAATAAAATTATGCAAATCATATTAACGATTATTAAATAAAATTTAAATTTAAAAAGTTTCAATTTTCTCTTTTTGGCTACTCATCCGAGCTAATAGCAATTTTGTCAAAAAAAAAAAAGTAAAAGTGCTAATTATAAATTTTTTATTTGTTTTGTATTAATTATTGTCTGACCACTACTTAAATAAGCATAATATAAACGTCAGAAGGTCAAAGATCAACTGATAATCTATCAATTTGATTTTAAATTATGATTTACACTTGATGTTAACACTTAAAATAAGTGAAAATTCCCTATGAATTAATTTAAAATTTACTTTTGGATAGAAATTTAATAAGCAAAATTCTGATGTTACCATTATCAATTATCAATGGAATGGATAATTCGTTGTGGAATAGAAAATTTGTTTTTAAAAAACTAAATTGAAAATTTTTTCCAACCATATTTGAAAAATTAAAAATTTCCAGCCAGATTGTTTCCAACAACGATCAATATTTCACCCAAAAATATCATTAATTTTGCCTTATCACATATTCCATTATCAATAGCAACTGATAAAACTCAGATATCTTCGGAAGTACATATGGATATGCAAACTCAACGTGATTCGAAAATTAATGATTACATCTCAGATAAAATTCAGTTAAATGAGTAAGTTATTAAATATATGTAAATAAGTAAAATATCATAAATTTTATTTAGGTAAGAAGAAAAAAACGTAAATTACTCTTCAATTATCACGAAATTAGTGATAATCATTGAATATCTTTTACTTTTTTAATTCGAAATTAATTAAGGATAAAAAAACTGATAAGACTATATTGAAATCAGCTGTTACTGTAAATGATAGATCTCCTTTCTTTATCACTGATTTTTTGTAGTAATTAAGTTAAGTGATAAAAAGAAGGATCAAATTTAAAAAAAAGAATCGAATAAAAAGAAATAATCAAATTTTCAAATATTTTATTTACATTGATGCTTGGAAAAATCAATAAGTTAAAAATTCAAATATTTAAATTTAAAATAATGCCAAAAATTTTCAGACCAAAAACCACTATAAAAAGTAAAAATGAGAGAAAAATTATGGGAAAATATTATGAAAAAACATCAAAAAAAATTTTCATCTTTAATGATTTTCCGGAGGATACATTCCGGAAAAGCAATGAAAATATCCTTAGTGATACCATAATTAAATGGTTGGAATATATGGAATTACGGATAATGGCTGAAAGGTAATGTAAAAAATCATATTATACACTCATGAAATCTTATCGTAAAAAGAAAACGATGATAGATTAATTTGAATTTTAAATTTAAAATATTCAATTTTTAATTTTATTTTTATTATTAATTAAAAAATCAATTCTACAAATGATAAAAATTATTTATGAATAATAATTGCATTATCCAAAACAAAAGACAATAATAATAATTTAATTAATTTAACATCATAAATAGAAACAATAATAGTTCCAAAAATCTTTTTTTTTTTTTTTATTGCAACTATCTCTCTCTCAATTTTAGAATTCATAATTTTGATAAAATGGTTGAATCGATTGAATCAATTGAACAAGAAATCAATGCAATCGAATCGATATGTTTATCCAAAGAATTACACATTGAAAAAAGTTTGAACTATGAAGTTTCATTAATTTTTCCCCATTACTTAATCTCTTCATGCAAAATTTATCTGCACTTAATTTTAATTACCGTTTTTTAATTACCTATAGACAATTTCAAACTATCATCCATTTCAATACTTCATTTCAATTTAAGGAGAATTAGCAAAGTGAAGAAGACTTACAAATTAATCATAAAATGCAATTTTACTTATCGTTTACCCATACATACTTAATTTTAATTACCATTTTTTAATTACCTACAGATTTTTTTTTAATTTCTTTCTATTTTTTTAATTACCTTTCAACTATCATCCATTTCAATACTTCATTTCAATTTAAGAAGAACTAACAAGTGAAGAGAACCTAAAAATTAATCATAAAATGTAATTTTACTTATCGTTTATCCATATATAACTTCAATTATCATTCATTTCAATACTTCATTTCAATTTAAGGAGAACTACCAAATGACGAAAAACCAAAAATCAATAATATGACGAGTACATTAATTGAGGTAAAAGAAATATTCCATGAAATGCTACAAATACTCAATGATTTAGCTATTAATATTTCCAAAAATAATGGCATATATCAGAGTTAATTTTAATTAATTATTAAATTTATGACATCCTAAGGTATGGCATAAAATAAGATAAAGCGCAAAGTTGCAATAGCAAAGTAAATATTTACTTTTTTTTGATAATAATAACAACTAGCATTTATTCATGTCATTTTAATTTGATATCGAAAAAAGAATGGTTTGGAAAAAAAAAGCAAAGATCAGGAGATAAAGAATATGAAATGATAGGGATGTTATCATTTAATATTTATATTATAAAAAATTTGTCAACAAATATTTTCTAAATTAATTTTATCATTTCTAGGAATATTATCATTTAATATTTATTTTAAAAAAAAATTTGTCAACAAATATTTCCCAAATTAATTTTACCATTTTAATTTACTCGTAATTTTTTACAGTTATTTTTATAGCTATGAAATTAAAACATTCGATTGAATATATTGCAAAAAATTTTTCACATTTGACATTTGCTATTTCATTGCCATTTTTTTTTTTGTTGATAA